CTGGCTTTCCGTCATGACTCGCCATACTTGTCCTTCCTCCCGGATGGTGTCCGCCTGGTGCCGGACATTTCATTTTTGCCCAAGGTGGTCTCTGAATTCCATCTGCAGTCTGAAGTCTTCCTCCCTGATTTTTATCCTGACCCAAAATCACAGGAAGACAGACTTATGCACACTCTGGACGTGAAGCGGTCCCTCCTCTTCTACCTTAGTAGGACACGCTCCACCAGGCAAGCCTCTAAGCTGTTTGTCTCATACGCTGCACCCCGTGTGGGCACCCCAATCACTGCCCAACGTCTATCCAAGTGGATCGTAGGTCTGATAGAACTGTGTTACCTACTAGCGAAACAGCTGTTGCCAGGCCCGGTACGGGCTCATTCCACCAGGGCTGTCGCTACATCCACTGCGTTCTTGAAGGGAGTGCAGCTGCAAGACATTTGCAGAGCCGCAACCTGGGCCACGCCTAATACCTTCATCAGGCACTACGCCTTGGACGTCCGCCAGTCCACCAGTGACAGTCTGGGACGTCAGGTTTTGGCCTCGGCTAAGCAGTAAACACCTGACAGCACCCGCCTCCAGGTAAACTACTGCTCGCTAATCTCCCATTGGTGTGAAGCACAGAGACCACGAAGAAGATAAACAGGTTGCTTACCAGTAACTGGTGATCTTCGAGTGGTCATCTGTGCATTCACACCACCCACCCTCCTGCCCCGCTGCTGTCTTCTTCTACCTGTTTTGTTAGGAGATTGATACGCGGCGGTTGGTAGGAACTGGCGGCATGTCCGTGCCTGCCCTTCTGGGCATGCTCACTGGGGCTCCTGAGCATGCTCAGTTGGGCCAGGCACGAAAATCCTTTCAAGAGAGCTTGCTAGGCACCGGCAGATCCAGCGCAGGCGCACTAGATCCCATTGGTGTGAATGCACAGATGACCACTCGAAGATCACCAGTTACTGGTAAGCAACCTGTTTTTCCCTCTGTTATTGGGATGCCTGCCTTGCAAGCATCCAGATCGCAGCTGCAAACCAAAGCAGAGCTCAGGTTTTGAAAAGGTTGGCAGTTTGCCGGCACTGGCCTCGGGAATCAGTTAACTGTTTAAATTATCTCATTTGTTGTATGAGCTCCCCAGTCCTGACAGACATTAATTGGAAGTCAATCTAACCAATTACAATAGCACTTATTTCCGGATCACTACACTTGGCACTGCAATCTAAAATGTTTTATAAGCACCTCAAAAATATTGCACAGGGTTGGGTTTTTTTGAGTGGGGGGATTTTGTTGCGTGCTATACTCATACAGTCAGCCCACAGAGTTTCTCAAACAGCTGGACTGATAGAACAGGTAACAAATACCATGCCCTTGGGGGGGGCATTATTGTCTTCTTTTGCTCCACCGTTTGGGAACTGCTTTTCACAGGGAGTAATCCTGATTGGGCCTTCTTGGAAGTCAGTGAGGCTTACTCCCAGGAAAGTGCCTGGGATCTAGCAGTGCGCGAGATCTTGTGCAACACCCAACACTTTCTTCCCTATATGCTATAGTGGCCAGAAACTGGTTGCATGGGATTTTGTGCTGGTGGAAATACAAGTGAGGATTCAGTAAGTTTGACTTTGTGCAAGCAGCTACTGTGCTCTTTTCCTTGCATTTCTGCATGGCTGGAGCTGTACTGCAAGTGGAAATTCTGCACTGGATGCAATTCAGTGTTCTTAGAATTTGCAACCACAGAACCAATATTCCCACTGATCTTGGCATAAAAGTATGACCTGTGAGCCTGCTTTGTGTGCTGTTTTTTCATTAGCTTTGTGTATGTAATTCTTTGTGATGTTGCAGCTAAGCCCAAGTATACTTTTTCCAAAAGAACCCCAAACCCTGTAGATACTTACACAGTTGTTTCCCATCTACTTTGCATGGAGTTAAAGTCAGGTGCACATATGTTTGCAGAGAACTTGTATAAACGGGGGGTCAGGCAGTGGTTTGACGCAGAAATGTTGTTTTAATAGAGATTTGGTTGGTTACTATACCATACCTGATGGCAAACTAAATAAGATCTTAAGAACATAAGAAGACCCCTGCTGGATCAGTCCAGTAGTCCACCTAGCCCCGCATCCTGTTTCACACAGTGGCCTGCTGTTTGCTTGAGGACACTCTAGCTCTGACTAAGATACCCACACAGGTGCCTTTTGGACCAAAATTTGGAAGATGTTCAATAGCTGTGCATTTGGCACCGGACCCATAACCTTAATCTTTAGAGGCCTCACAAACATCTTCGTCTATTGAACTTCCCGCTTAACCTTCCTTTTCTTGGTCCAGTATTAACTTATTGGTTATCATATTGTAATATGTATTGTTGTTATTATTGTTTTTGTATTATATTATTGACCTCTGAAGAAGGCCCCCAATAGTTCATGTGTTTAAGCCACTTGAACTTTTTAATGAGGCTTTCATTGGGCCCTTATTTTTTTTTTAATTGGCTTTCAAATAAATACATGTATTTTTGTATACTATAAGTTTCAACTAGGTTTTTAATATTGGCCCTTTATCAGACTTCTTTCTTACCCTTGTGGTTCTTGACTCCAGTTTTTGGGTCAAGTTTCTTTTCCCCTCCCTGTGTCTCTCTCACACAGTGGCCCACCAGTTCCTCGGGAGGGCCAACAACTGGGCTTAGAGGCCAAAGCCTTCCCCTGATGTGTGGCCTCCTGGCTCTGGCATTCAGAGCGTCGGTGCCTCTGAGCGTGGAGGTGTTCCCCTCAGTCACCATGCCTCATAGCCACTGATAGACTTATCCTCCATGAATCTATCTAGCCCCCTTTGAAAGCTGTTTATTCTGGTGGCCATCGCTACCTCCGCTGGCAGCAAATTCCACATTTTAATCACTCTCTGTGTCAAGTAGGATTTCCTTTTTTATGCACAGTATTGATTTTTTTTTTACATCCTCCATGTGTTAATTTTAAAATATATGCCCACATTCTAGCCATATTCGGATCATGGCGTTCAAGCAGCCTACCACCAAGTTTACGCTCAAAGTGCCATTGCCATGCCAGCCCCTGTGATGCAGCCGGAGTCTATTAAAGTAAGATCTGTGATTCCCCCCCCCCTGTTACTTTTTCCTGTGTATCTTAGTTGGGGGGGGGAGTATATTGCCAGCTGGTTAGGTGGCAACAACGTGAAGAAGTAATGCCACTTTTCCCTACGGAAGTACAAATGTTGCTCGTCTTACCTATTTATTTACTTCATGCATGCCGCTCCCCCTTGGGGGATCAAATTCGCTTACATCCCCCCTCCCCATTTTATTTTTGCAATAACCCTGTGAGGTAGGTTAGGCTGAGAGTGTGCTAGGTGTCCCAAGGTCACCCAGGAAGAATCCATGGCAGAATAGGGGTTCGAGCCTGGATCGTAAGTCACCTTGAGCTTTTGGAAAGTTAGAATAAAACTATTAATTAAAAAAATTAATTTCTTTAAATTGTTTTTTTAAATCACCATATGTTTTCAATCACTATGATGTTTACAGGTTGAAATTCTGTGAAAGACTAGATCTTTGGGGTGTGTATTTTGTAAGCATTACCCAGTGTTCTTCCTGTAGAGGGTGCTATATCCTAAATATCATCAGTACCTGAAATGCAGTAAGGGCAAAAATAGGAAATTCTGAAAAGTTATAACAGAAGTAGTTTGACTTCTCGTTTTTTAATATGTATTTATATTTATATTAAGCTTATGCCACTTTTGTCACATTGACCATGCGGTTATTAGTGGTAGCTGCTGAGGTGAAGTAGAAAGCAGTGGTCAGTTGTGAGGGGTCTGGCTTGCCGCAAGATCACTTTTTAGACCATTGTTAAAGTGGGTAGCTAGTCTGACCTGGACAACCCAGGCTAGCCCAATCTCGACGGGTCTCAGAAGCTAAGTAGGGTCAGCCCTGGTTAGTACTTGGATGGGAGACCACCAAGGAAGGCCAGGATTCCAATGCAGGGGCAGGCAATGGGAAACCACTTCTGTTCGTCTCTTGCCTTGAAAACCCTACTCGGTTTGTCCTGGTTAGCGACGACTTGACGCCATAGAATTGATTAGGGTTTAAGTTGATGAAGCTTAAAGATGTCAGAGGATGCTTGAAGATGGTGCAAAAACGGTTCAGAGCCATTTATTATCTGTTTTCCAATTTCTTTATGAAATTTACATCCTGCCTTTCTGCCCTCACGAGGGCTACCGCATTGTCTGACCACAGTGCTGTCCAGCTTTTTCTGAACCAGGACTCTTTGGCTGATTTCGCACTAGAGCTGCCTCGATGTTGCGCCGCCATTTGCCCCGATACTATTGGTCAATTTCACACCCAAAGCCACGGGGCTGCATTTTGACCCGAGGATTTGCCCAATTTCCCCCGCAGTTTCGTGATCCTGTTTTTTGAGGATCACGCAACTGCAGAGGAAATCGGACGAAGCCGCGGGTCAAATGCAGCCCCGCGGCTTTGGGTGTGAAATTGACCAATAGTATCGAGGCAAACGGCGGCGCAACATCGAGGCAGCTCTAGTACGAAATCAGCCCCTCTTTTAATCCCATCTGCAATACAGAACCAACTTCCCCCCCCCCAAATGTCTTCTACTTTTTCTCTTTTCCTTCTTTTAACTGACCACTTTTGTAAGTACACTCTTGTGCCGGTGGAGGAATTACATAACATGAGGTTTTTATATCGTGAGCTCCTTGGCTTACAGATCAAATTGTCCACGGCTGTGTCTAAAACACATTCAGCTATTGGTGGAGGGAAAGTGCCGTGAAGTCGCACCCGACTTATGGCGACCCCGTAGGGTTTTCAAGGCAAGAGATGAACGGAGGGTGGTTTGTCACTGCCTGTCTCGGCATAATGACCTTGAACCAGCCTGGTGGTCTCCCACCCAACTCCCCACCAGGGCCAACCCTGCTTAGCTTCCGAGATGTGACAACATCGGGCTAGCCTGGGCCATCCAGCTCAAGGCCCGTTCCGTTGTTACTGTTTGCATTCTGCCTCGCATTTTGCTGCTTGACTACATCTGGTTGCACCTTTAATATAGTAAACTGCTATTTTGAAAATGTACAGTTTTTTTCCCTTTCGTAGGAAGCCAAGATACACTCCGTGAGGAGAAATTTCTCCCATTCTTCATCTATGAGTCTGAAGCCTCGATATGCGCGGAGTCCCCATTTTCATCCTAGAAAAGATTACAGATCAGACGACACAATGCTTACTACTCCTTCCTCGACAGACTCTGTTAAATAGAGCCTTAGTTATCTACCAAATTACTAGTATGTTAGCCCATGAAGGTATGCAATTTTGTAGCTCTTAACGTTTACCGAGTCCAGTGAAGTCAGAATGCCCTTACTTTTTTGTAAGGAAATTAAAAAGATCTTGTACTTACAGAAATGCAGTTAGTAAACATAAATTGCAGGATAAAATCATGGTTACCTGTTTCAGTTGATACACTTGAATGGTGACACAGATTTGTAGTGTGTAACCTAGATATGCACTGCTGTTAATGCAGTTTAAAGCCAACATATTTGTGTTGACAGGACAAATTCAAAACTCATTTTCACCTGATTAATTGCAAGTAAAACTAACTGCAATATTAAAACTATTTTTACTAGAATGATAACAAAAGCTGTCCTTCAGTGTTTTAGTCAACATTTCTGTTGAAACGTATTTTTGTGTATCTTGTGTAATTTGGGTGCTTTCTGTATTTCATTTTAAATCAGTCCTGCTTTTTTAATGTAAGAATTTTTACATATCCTTTTTCAGAGCTGAAAACTAGACCATCTGCTTGTACCCATGTAATTATTTCTGATTTTTCTGACTGATACTGGTTTTAAATATGCCAAACATTACATGCACTTATGATATTATATCAGATGTGGAAATATACACATTTTGCTTTAGTAATTCAGTATATTAAGAGTATTTGAATACACACATTTGGCCCTTGAGTAGTGTCAACATCTGTCTTGTCCCTGTACAGGATTAAAACAAATCTGCCTATATCATGTCCTGAGGAAGAATACAATGTTCTTCTTCACTACAAGGATTAGAATTCATTGTTTGTTCTTTTCTAAGCTTTTTGTTGCTATCTCTAAGCTTAATGTTCCTCCAGCAGAAGAAATGTGCCTACAAACCCAGTTACTTGTTTTGTACAGAAGACTTTCAGCATTTTAACTATTCTTTACATTTGTAAATGTTTCCTACTCAGCATTTTGATTTTATTTGCTCAGAAGTTAATTTCCAGCCATTCTGAAGGCTAACTTTTCACTTTAATGTAAGGTAAAGCTTTCTGTATAGGCAGTATTGCAGGGTTATATTTCCATCATCTAGCCACCAATACTGTCTTTTAATGGTATACTGGAAAATAGATACAATCTGCTTGGCCTATACTCCTTTTACGTGCTATTGTGAATGCTGGAACAAGGGAGAATAAATTCAGACTCCCTAGAAATGTTATTTATTTTTCTAGTCACACTGTAAGTCTTTAAATAGGTTTGTACCTTTATTGAGCAGAAAGAAGATCATACACAAAAATAATTTATACCTCTTGTAAAAATGTTTGTGGTAACTCAGCAGCTGTCAGATTTAAATAGTTTATGTCAAGTATAAATAACTTGAGCTGTTGGGGTATCAGTTTAATGTTACTGTTTTTATATTTGCAGAGGTTTTAGAATATATCTGTATAAGTGTACTGACATCTCTTGAAGTGGTTTCGTACATGAGAGAGGATTTGCGCCGTTGTAAATATCCTTGTGAACAATTTGAAAGTAGCCAGGAAAAGACATTGTGTTCTGTTACGGTGGCCTTATTTCTAATTGCATCATGAAACAGTTGTACATAACCCATTCTGTCTAAGCAATCAGGGTGGGTTTTAAATCTTTTTCTTGGATTCTCATTTTTACTTTGTTAAAAACATTTTTTTCCTTGAAGCATTGCAAAATGGAGATATCCAAGAAGTGTTTAGTACTTACCACTGCAATTTTTTTAAAAAACCCAACTATATTCATACTAGAAATCGGCTGATATAACGGCTTGTGTTATGGAGTTATTGATATACATCAGGTAAGATAATGCCCAAGAAATCCCATTTTAGTTCATTTCCATTTAAAAGAACAGTACAAACATCAGGATTGTTTTATATTTGTCTGTATTTGGCCAAGACTTATTTCATAAATTCAAAATACAATAATTGAAATAGGGTTCTGATTAATGAATGAACAGGTTTCATAAACGTATTCGTGGGAGGCTGTATTCATGTCCAAAAGTAAAAAAAGAATTGCATTCTGCACTCTAGTTCTGCAGTGTAATGTGTGGGGTGTCACTGTTCCTCGCAGCATGTGTATCAGTGTGTTTCATGCAGATCATTGTAGAACTGGGGATGATACCTAGACAGCACTTTTGCGTTAACAGCTAGTTCGATCTAATAAACCCTGTCCCCGCTTTCTTCATTATGTTTCTCCATGGAAAACATTGGTTCCCAAGTCTAGGATGCTTTCTTATTTCATATTAAGACATCTAATTTATATATTGAGTGATAGAGGGTAAACATTCACAATGCCAGTATTTGTTAAAGACTGAACTTGTATTACTCTATGTTAAAATCCTGATTTTAAAATTTTGAATTGGGATACATAGCAGAATCATATTAACCATACATTTTGAGGTGAAGAATTTATTTAAGCAGTTTTTGTGATCATAACTCCAAACATATTTTTAAGAAATAGGTAAAGAAATGCCATAATGTTAAAGAAAACAGGACTTTCCTATGTCTGGAAATCTACCTGTTTTGAAATTTTAAAGTATGAACATCACTTTGTTAGTCATTCTCATGAACAAATGAAAGTTCAGTTTAATCATAACACAGCCATTTAACCTATCACTTTAATATTCCTTTATGCTATTAACATATTTTAAAATCCTCTTGAAAAAATAAACTGTTCAGCATACTGCTGTCACGGGTAGTCAAAGGTAACAGAACACATGGCTTTGCATATATACTTTATACCTATATTTTAATATGTAGTTTGATAGCGTTAAGTTAATTGTAATATATGTTCATGTAAGCGTTAAGTTAAAACGGTCTTTTCAGGGCACTTGAATTTATCTCCATATTGCGGCAGCTTTTAAAAAATGTGACATGGAAGATAGTTCAAGGTACATGCGTACAAATCTTGGAAGATAGAGTTTTTATCAACATATGTTAATTCCCAATTGCATCTGCCTAAGTTGTTGTGGAGTTCTGATTTTAAATAGAATGTGGCACAGCAGGAGAGCATGCATCTTGTTTGGGGCTTCATTCATAGACTGTGCTTTTTCAGATATTTTGATAGAACAACATTGTTTTTAAAAAAATATATTGTAGAATGGCAGATGAAAGCAAACTGTAAGATGGTATATTTTGTATCAGAGACATTGTGGGACTGTGCAGCCGTGATTAAGAAGAGTGCGCAAAGCAGAGCATAAGATAAACTTGAAAATTTTACAGTGACATACAAACAGTATCCAAACTGACCTACTCTGTTTATGTACTCCAGGTGCATTTATGTTTGTTGCTGCAGTCTTGTGAGCTAACATAAATGTACAGAAACCGATTTATCTGTACTATTTCATAGTACTTCAGAGTTTTGCAAATGTCTTATCTATTCCATTTTTTTGTTTCAACTGTGAACATGATCCAATGTATCAACAGTACAACAGCCATTCTTAGAGGATATTCTCATAGGCTCAGTAGAGCTCTGATTTTCTTTCTCCCTCTGGCCTCCAGACCAGCTACATACGTACATGTACTTCAGAGCACACAAGTAACTTATGTAGAGACCAGAGAGAGGTGGATAAGGAATCCATTTACTCTTACGGCCTCTTGTACTACTTACATATGGGAGGAGGAGAGTGTAGGGTTCTGTGGGGTCAGTGGAAGCCACCACACAAGAATCCTATGCCCACAATGGACCAAATTGTGCTGTGTATTGATAGTATACAGTAACAAATTCAGCTCTTGTAACTTGTACTTTCTGAAAAAAAACCCCAATGGTTTTGTAATAAAGTTTCATTCAAATAAAGCATTATTTGCCTACTGCGTTGATGCAAGTTCATTTTTGAGAAAACAATAACATTTAGAGGTAAAAACATAAGAACCCTGCTGGATCAGTCCATTGGTCCATCTAGCCCAGCATCTTGTCTCACATAGTGGCCAACCGGTTCCTCTGGAGGTCCAACAACAGGGCATAAAGGCCCAGACCTTCCCATGATGTTGTCTCCTAGCACTGGGTTTGAGAGGTTTACTGCCCTGAACTTGGAGGTTCCCTTTAGTCACCATAGCTGGTAGCCAGTGATGGAGCTGTCCTCTGTGAATCTGTCCAACCCCATTTCAAAGCTCTCTCTGCTGGCAGTGAATTCCACAGTTTAATTACTTGTCGAGTAAAGAAGTATTTCCTTCTTGCTGTCCTGCAGGGGTCATTTCGTAGAAAAAGAGCTAGGGGAACTCATTAGCATAACTCATTAGCATATGCCACACCCCCTGACATCACCGGAAGTGTGTCATAAGGCCACACCCCCTGACATCACCAGAAGTGTGTCATAAGGCCACACACCCCGCCCCCAACGGTCCCGGCTGCCGCCGCTGGCCTTGCAGCTCCACTGCTGAGCCCCATGAGGGGCCCGGTGCCCCGCCCCCCGTACCTCACCCGGGGGAACTGCGTTCCCCCCCGAAATGACCTCTGCTGTCCTGTACCTGTTGCCCATCATTGGGTGCCCGCCCCCAAGGACTAGAAGAAGAAGAGGAGGAGATTGGATTTATACCCCGCCCTTCACTCGGAGTCTCAGAGTGGCTTACAAACTCCTTTCCCTTCCCCTCCCCACAACAGACACCCTGTGAGGCAGGCAGGGCTGAGAGAGCTCTTTCCAGAACTGTCCTTGAGAGAACAGCTCTTATCAGAACTACGGCTTGCCCAAGGGTATCCAGCAGCTGCAAGTGGGGGAGTGGGGAATCAAACCCGGTTCTCCCAGATTAGAGTCCGCGCACTTAACCCCTACACCAGACTGGAGCGAGGGAAAGGCTCCCCCATCCACTTTCTCCACCCATGCATAATGTCATAAATCTTTATCCTGTCCCTCCATAGCCTTTTCTTTTTAATTAAAAAGTCCCAGAGTGTTGAGCCTTACTTCGCAGGAAAGGTGCTGCAACCCCTTGATCTTGTTTGCCCTCCCCTGTACTTTTCCCAGCTCCATCGTGAGATGCGGTGAGCAGA